AGATTATAATTTAAATAAATATAAATATTTAAAAAATCACATTAATTCTCCTTAAAATAGTTATCCTTAAATAGAGAGGTGATTATTTTATTATCTTATAGGTTTTTATCTTTTAGTATTAAAAAGATATTCAAGCTTAAGACTAGTTAGTTAGCTTAGGTATAGAAGTAAGAAACACTTTATTAACAAATCTTTAAAAAAAAGTATAAGAATATGTTCTTTAACCTCGCGATTGATGTCTCCGAGTAGCCTTTAGTCTTCAAAGGACCTTTGGGGAATCCGCAGTAAGATATCATATTTTTTTTCTTCCATTTTTTTTCTCATATTTTCTTTATATTTTTTGTTGTTGTTGTGGTTCCCTAAAAAGGGTGTGTGTGGCATAAAATGTGGCGAACAAATAGTTTTCCGCTCTTGCAGAGCAATACAAAGGATTTTGGATTAGGGACGACCGTGGCCGTGTTCTTTATCAATTTTATCTGTGAAATATATTTCCGAAACATTTGCCATTATATTTGCATTAGTGGCCACAGCTTCCTTTAGCAAAAGTCCTTTGCCAGGAGTAGGCCAGGAATACAGAGAGAGAAAAATTTTAGGAAGAAAAGATAACAAACTTTGAATAAAATTTATAATGGTTGGAGCTAAAAAAAAATATATTTATTTTATTTGTTTTCTTTCGGATTATTTTTCTTAATAAATCTTCATTTTTTCTCAGTGCATTATTTTCTTTTTTTTTTTTGGAATGGACAGTTGAACGCCAATGAAAAGGAAAAAGGCGAGGCCTAGGCATTCGCATTCAAAGAACTATCCTTGCACCAAAAGGATATGTAATATATACGCAAGTGTGTGTGTGTGTGTTTGTAGTCTATTCCCAGGCGAAAACTGCTTATCACACATTTCCACACAGCCACACACACACAAACACACACTCTCTAGCTGAGGAATGCCTCACTCAGGACACCAAAAAAAAAAACAAAGGAAAATAGAAATATACTATAGAAAAAAAAAAAGGGGTGGAGAGAGGGTTTCTCTGCCTCGGCCAGGAGTATCGTAGTTGAGTAATAGCACAAAGAATGATGCGTAGACATGATTTCCGTGCGGTTGATTTTTCCATACTCGCCCTCCATTCTACTCCCCTGCTAGCCTAGTATTTATTTATTTTTTTTTTTGTGGGCTACCCCCTCTTTTATTTCCCACACAAGCACACTGCTTACGATTCTAGACGGAAATTGTTAAACGAGAATTTCCATAAATTTCGCAACAGCATGTGATCGGATTTTGGGAATAAAAAATACAGAAAGTGTTGCATTTGGAAATTAGGTTAGGGTTTGTTAAAGGGAAATTATGGTGTTTGAGAGGAGGTTTGGTTTAAATGTTAGGGGTGTTTTATTGTATATTTTAAAATTATTAATCTAAAGTACCCCTTTTTGGGATTTAAGCTCTTGAGTAGGACTATTTTTTGAAACATGTTTAAGATATCTGGCTTTTTTAAGAGATTTAATAAAGTTTCTTGTTTAAACATGTCTTAAAAAGTGTGACCAGCTTTTACTTTTTTGGGGATATATTTTTTTTATTAAAGAAATTGAATTCAATGAGCATCCAGATTCTAAATACCATAAGAAATTATGCCTTAAACCGTGAAATAATCATTCTAAAAAATACCAAATTTAGCCACACTTGAAAACATGTTTAAAAAAGTTGGAATTTTGAAGGTTTTCCCCTTTTCTTTCCGCAAACTTCTCCCAAGACTTTGAATTTCAAAGCTATTTTGTCTCTTCTTTAATTTTGCCTTGTTTCTGAATATTTTTCTTTGTTTTCTTCGCTTTTTTTCCCCCTGTACTACCAGCTTTTAGCCATTTTTTTGTAGAAATTTTTCTCGGTTTCTTTTTTTAAGCCTTTTGTTTCACTGTTTTTTTTTGAGAAACTGGCATTGCTGGGAAAACTATTCGCTGGGGGATTTAGTTTCTGGTACCTTTTTGTGCGTTATCTGCATGATTTTGCATGGCCAGAGAAGAAGAGTCTCAAGTGGAGAGAGTGTGGAGAAAGGAGAGAAGCCTAGAGAGAAATGGCAAAGGAGGCTGGGCTGCTACTTCAGTAGCATGTAATTCATCTTATTCCCCAAAGACAACCACCAGCGAGCGACAAAGGAGACACGGACGCTTGAGCTTACAATTCCGGCGGGTAAATTGCTGGCGCAGATGCCGCCCCCCCCCCAGCCACCAGCCCCCAGTTCCCAGTTCCCCAAACCCCTGGTGGGGCAGAGGAAAATCCGGAAGAAAACAGGAGACAGAAGGAGACAAGAGGAGACAGTCGAAGGCGTTGCTGTCGTCGCGTTTCTGTGCGTGTCTCCATTGGGACATAAATGCCATTTGGCCCCTTGAAAGGCAGGGGTGGGGGAAGGGCGACGGATGGTGGGTCCTCTGGACAGGCACGCGCCTCATTACGTGCCACCTTCCTGCCCCATCTTGGCCAATCCCCAATCTCCTTTTGACGCATAAAATGCGTAATGAATTTTAGATTTCATTTCAATGGCATACAGAAAGAAGTTATGACCGCAGGCGCTCAAAGATTTGGATTTTCCCACTGCCACACAGACATAGCCTCTGCTCTCCTCAGCCTCCCTTTTTGGTCTTGAGGTCCTTTGAGCTTTTCCGGACACCGGAAACTTTTATTTGGCCGTTAAGTGCGTGAAGAGCAGCCGCAAAAGTGTTTAGTCCAATGGTCTGCAAATAGTTTTAGGTGATTCCCCAACTGGGTGTCGAGGCCATTCCCGACCAACGGCGACAAGCGATTAAGGACCAAATGTGGGGGTGGGCCACGACAATAAGTGATTTATGGATATATTCAAAAATAGCCATGAAATAGCAGCACATGCGGCGTATGAGTAATTTTTTGGAATAGAAACTTATACGGCAGGTAGTAGCAGTAGAGAAGTGAACAGAGAAGTCTTAAATTTTAATGGCTTGGTATAAAAAATGATTATTTAATATTTGTATATCGAGTCTTAAAAAAGTGGGCGAACAACACTGCGTATGAGTTATTTATGAGGGTATGACGCCAGAGTGCAATAATAGGATGTTTAAAAACAAAACTATAAAGCTATGCATGCCAATATACCAAAACAATGATACATAATATGAAATATATTTTTAAATTATCATAAATATTTACTATACCATATATTAAATATACTTTATAGTAAATAAATTTAATAAATATTAAAAAAGAAATTCCACACTGCGTATGAGTAATTTCCATATATGACTCTGAGTTTAAAGTTGGAGTGAAATAAAAATATAAAAATATATGTAAAGCTATATATATATGCCTCGATTTAATAATAGGTAACTATTGAATGTATATAACTATCACAAATATTAAAGTATTAAATGAATCTTATTAAATTATTAATATTATTAATATTATATGGTAATTATTAATATTATTTAATTATACGGTTGTACTCATACGCAGTGTAAGCCAGAGTTTAATAAAACATTTCAACTTAACTATTTTTTTTCCTAATATTCCCACTAAAAGTTTTATTAGAAACATCCATAGATTAAAAAATAAAGTATTTTAAAAGAAAATTTTCAATAAAAAACGATAAAGTTTCAAAATTAAAATAATAATGAAAATAGAAATAATATTAAACAAAACCCTATTTAAATTAAAATTTAATAAAATAGTAAGCAGCTCTCCAATTCCAATGTAAACTATTTAATATAAAAATAGTTTAAAATATAATTTTTTTCACTTGTAAAAAATTTGCTTTAATTTTAAATTTGCTGATTTTGCTTTATTTTTTTTTTTAGAATGAGACAAATAAAAAAAAAAAATAATAAGAATATTAGAAACGTATCTTCTTGAAAAAAAACAGAGCCTTGAAAAGAGGGAGACTCCATGGCGTATGAGTAATCTTCTACGGAATATAACTCATACGCAGCGTTGGTTTATTTTCTTAAAAAATTAAACGAACTGTTTAAAAAAAGAAATAAAATGAACTAAAATTGAAGTATAAAATAAAAGTTAATATATTTAGTATAGTTTGTATATTTTTTCAAAAAGCAATAAAAAAACCAAAACAAACCGTATCTCCATGACTTGCACTTGAAACAAGCCCAAAAAAAAAAAAAATAAGAAAAAAACTTACCAGCATTGAGTATAATTTTTCATAATTTTTCAAAGAGGAGAAATAATAGAGGAAAAAAGTAAAAAAAATAAAGAAGCCAAAAGGGAAGACAAAAATAAAAGTCGAAACCGAAAACGAAGCTGGCAAAAAAGTTCCTTAACCCCAAAAGCCAAGCCATCATATTATTTTCAACATTTATTTGCCATGCGTAAATAAAAAAAAGAAAAACTTGTATATATCCGGGAATAGAGGGATATATAGATATATATTTTATAGAAGAGAAAGGGTGGGGTGGGGGTTTTTTCAAAGGCCAAAGTGGTAAAGTAAAATGGGAAAATGGAAAATGGCAGCCTGGCCCTCTCTCTCTCACTCTCAATAATAAATGCAAAACTGCAGCGGGAAAAAGGAGAATTGCATTTTAGGTAAACATAGAGCCTGGCCAAAAAGGATTTGAGAGTGGCAGGGGGTCAGGGAGGAGGCTGGAGGGCTGGAGGGCTAGAGGGCAGGCATTGCGGGGTTAAGGCGTGTCCTGGCGCTTGTCCAATTGACGTAAATCGTGCACAAGTTTTGGCAGCCAAAAGGACTGCGGCTAAAACCCCAGACACCGAGACACCGAGACAGACAAGGAGAGCCGAACCACAAAGCGAAAGAGATGGCCTGAGCTATAAAGAAAGAGAAAGAGCAATAGAAGAATTGTGCCAAAAAGCAGCCGGAGAGGTCAGCAAACTCAATCTTTCGGATGCAAAATTTTAATTCACAAAAATTGATGATGAAATTTGAAATTTAAAAAGTCAACCAAAGTAATTCTTGAGATTTTGAAACAAAAGTATATAGGCAGGACTATAAGGATAAGGACAAGGCTTGTAGAAGCTTAATCCTTGTGGACTTGCTCTTCCCAAACAGCCTGCGTCTTGGACTCTTTATCCTTGACTGTATCCTTGACTGTATCCTGGGTATGCTGCCTTCCACCGCAGCAGCAGCAGCAATCGCAGTCTCCGGAGCACTGTTGCCGGCGCTTCTTTTGCTTCTCCAGGCGATTCCGCTGACGGACCTCCGGATGGCCGAAACAGTGCTCGCACTCGTCCTCCGTGGACGAGGAGCTCTCGCCGAACGGATGCGGCTTCCGGTAGATGCAACAGCACTTGGACTTGCGCTTGTTCATGTGCTCATTATCGATGACGCCCTCGTGGAAACCCACATGCCGCTCCGGCGGTGAGGTCGAAGTCGAAGTGGAGGTGGAGGCTCGGGGCGGCGAATGGGCGTGGCTCAAACGCAGTCGCAGCACAGTGGGCGCCGATCCACTCACTGAAGTACTGAAGGATCCTTTCACCGAATCGGTGCTCTCCGCCGAACTGAAACCGGAATCCGATGCTGGACGACTCACTTTTCCCATGTGGCTGGATGACGATGGTGATCCTTGAATGTTGGCACTTGCCTCGATCCTGATGGTCCTTCCCGATGTCTCGGCTGCCTTCTCCACGCTAGAGACCTTGGCCTTTGACTGATCCATTATATTTATTTTTCTAGAAATCCTCTTTTTTTTTTAAATTTTTTTTTCAATTTTTTTTTTTAAATATTTGTTCCGAAAATGTGGTCCAGTTTTGTGGACTTTTGGTTTTGTTCTGACCTTTGCTCCGTATGATCTGAATGTCAGTAGGATTTCGAGGGGAATGATTGGAATAGGATGTCAAGGCTTTTGACTTATTTTAAAGTCAGGGTCTACTTTGGTTTAAGGAAAATAAGCAGTTCCAAAGATATAAGGGTAGATTGGGAAGGTTTTGAGGTCTATACTCCTCTAGAGGACGGTGTCTTTTAAGAAGAAAATGTCGGTTTATTTTGGGAAATTTTTAGAAGAAAATATTTATAAGATTGAAAAAATATTAATCTTAACAAAAGCCTTTATCTTTAAAGCCTATAAACTACCTGTGAGATCTACAAGTCTACATTTTATGAAGATTTGGAGGATATTATAAAAAATATATACAAGAATCAAAAATTTAACATTTTTTTACGAAACTAAGCATTTATAAGGGCATTTAATATTGGTATCTATAATATATTCTAATCTAAATTAATATAAGTATCTGTACCATAGAATCTGTAGATAATCTATACTCCATAGGATGATATATCTAAAAATTGTATTTTTGGATGAAAGTATTTTTAAATGAAAATTTAAATATAATATTGTAAAACAGATAATTATTGGTGGTATGTACTTCAAGTATCTGTATGATTTAAGATCTATCTGTAAGATCTACAAGCTTTTAAAGTAATATCTTGAGATATAAGAGGATTTATCAATAAAACTCATATCTAACTCTGTTTATATAAACAGAATAAATTATAGTCCCCTTAAAATAAACTTAGAAACCTAAAAAATCAACCAACTACCTTAAATAAAATCCCAATAATATCTCTTTATAAGAAAAAACCTACAACCTTTTTTTCTGTTCAATATTTTGAACCCCTCCATAAGCCAGCAAGCAACAAAGCAAGTTTTTAATAAATATTTTCCACCTAATGAACTGTTTCCAAAGACCAGACCAGAAAACAAGAAAGCAGAAAAAAAAAATGAAGGCAGAGCCCCGCAGGTTTTGCCTTTACCCATTTAATCTAATTTTCTTGGTTTCAGTTTTTTGCCAAACATAGTTTTTCTCACTAAAAGGAAAACCCGCTCGGAAAATGCTATCCTGTTCCTGTCACTCAGCCGTTGGAAGACCAAAAAAAAAAAAAGAGTGTCACGCCCATTCAGCAGTCACGCCTACCTCAAGGGAGGGCAGAGGGGGGCTTACATGTTTACGCCCAAGAGTTACCCCCTGAATTTTTTCCAACCCCCTCTACCCCGTCACTTGCCCGAAACTCTCCTGTCTATTGATTGATTATGCGAACTGTCTGCGCGAACTTGTAACTAGATTAATGAACTTTTTGCCGTGGATGCAGTGCATCATTCCAGCTTCTCCTCCTCCTCACCCCCCCTCATGTTTTTTGCGCTCTTTTGAGGCAGCCCACCCCCCTCCAGTCCGTCCTCAACCCCCCTTTTTAGTAACGCCCCTGTCTGCAGCAGCAGTAGTTCTCTGTTTGAACTTTGTCCCAGTGTTGAGTGAAGAGAATTTAAGTTGCCAGCGAAGCGAATGTGGAGCCCGATGAGCCATGGCCCGATGATGGAGGTCGGGAGGGGTCGAAGGGTAGTTCCGGGGCTTAGGGGTCTACTGATGGCTTTGTGGTTGTCGACCTGTCATCCTAATCCCTAATTCCATTTCTATTCGCAGCTCGCAGCTCTAATTCTGCCTTCAGTTTGCATTGAAAATGGCTGATCAACTTGCCTCTGCTTGCTGGCTCGGGTTTCTTTTTTTAAAAACTCTATTTAATTAATTTTTTCTGGGGTGTATGCTTCTGATATAATTTATATAACAAGTTGGTTGGAGGGTAGCGAGAGATTTTGGGGGTTTTTGTTGAGGCATATATGTATGTCTTAAAAGTATAGCTTTAAGGTTGTCTTTTTAGTAGTTTTAAGTAGTTTTTCTTAATACATACACATTTTATAAGTATTTTATTTTTAAAGGTACTGAGCTATTAAAAGAAAGCATAAATATTAGAAGAACAAATAAATAAATAATATTATTTCATGTACTTATGGGATATTTAAACACAATTTTTTAAAGAATGTTGTAAAATATATAAAACACTGTTGAAGTTTACGTAATTTGAAGGTAGTTCAAAATAAATCAAATAATAAATACATTTAAAATAAATCCCATAATCATTTATTTTGTTTTTAATCATAATAAATAAAAATAATTTGTCAATATATAAATGCTTTTGTTAATACTATAAGTTCCTTTCGTCATGAAAATTGCTTTCAAGAGACTTAGAAGACGTCACAGAAACATAATAATCCTAAAGTTCGTGACGAAAAATATTCAACTCTTTCAATTCGTACTTTAAATATTGCTACTTTCTGGATTATAACTTAAAAAAGCTCTCTTAATATTTTTAAAAAAGAATCAAAATAAAATAAGTCGTTATAGTTTTGTTTATATATTACTTTCGTTACTAAAATTTAATTCAAAACTGTTAAAAGAAAAGAATTATAATTAAAAAGATTATAATAGGAACTAGGAGTTATAGAAATATTAAAAGAAAATAAGATGGAAAAATAGTAAAGATAAAATAATGAAATAAATGAATAAAAGCAATAATAAGAACTTAAAAATAATAAAAAACAAGAAGTTGAAAGCTGAATTCGTGACGAAAGCTTCAATTCATCCTTTAGGTTTACTAATTTAGAAAGTTAAGTAATTCAAGCAATAATAATCAAATAATAATAAATATTAATTACTAATTATATATAATAACAATGTTTAAAGATGGTTAAACTCATTTTATTAGTTGCTTTCGTCACAAAAATTCTTCTTCAAATTCTGCAAAAAAACATCCCTTTAAAAAGGAACTATTCCCATTAATTTGGACTTGCCTTTTTGGCAACATACATATATCCTTTATAATTTTGACACCTGAACATGCATTACCTCTGCCACCAGCTTGTATTCCCCCCCTCCCCATACCCACCGTATACAAACATAACGGTAAATATATATACCCTCGTGATTCGTGAAACCTAAACCTACTCTAGTCTAGTTTCAATTCCCTGTTTAATCTGTGGGAATTTTCAGTTGCCAAATGAAGCTGGAGGCCTCACTTCAAATAGCAAGGCACAGGGGCGGCTGGGGCTGAAAATGAAAAGGGGGGGGGTGGTGCTGGATTGGAGCTGAGGTTTTTTTACAGAGAGGCTAGAGAGGTTAAGGGGTTGGGGTTATGCAATCCCAGGCACATGGCATGGCACAAATTTTCGTTCAAAAAAAAAAAAACATGAAAAAAATACAAAAAAAATGGAGCGAAATATTTCTGTTTTGGTTTCTCTTCTTCTGCCAAAGTTTCAAGTGTATATGTGTGGGTGTATATATGCATCTGTTTCTGTATCTGTGTATGTGTAAGTCGCGTTAGTCGTTTTTTATGAGGTCTCTTGGCGCTTGATTCCGCGGCCCCAAACCGCATTTAAAGTGCCTTTGCAGGCAAAAGCGAAAAAAAAAGAAACCACAAAATATATAGATATATATGATATATAGAAGGAGTCTCAAACACACACTAGCACACATGTGCGGTTTGCATAACTCATACATACATGTATCATATAGATGTCCCAGTGTGTGTGTGTGTGGGGGGGATTTTTTAACTTGGTCAATGGGTCGCCGTCAAGCGAAACTGAATGTTTCCTCTCGTTTTATATTATTTATTTTTCTTTCCTTTTTTCTCTATTATTTTTTTGCTCTTTTTTTTGTCCTTTTTTTTGGCCCAGAAAGCTCAGTGACGAAGATCCTTGCCAGGCAAAATATTCCTTCTCCTTCAATGATTAAGCTGATGAGGCCAGGACGCGGGTGACACAAAAAACAGAAGACCGATTCCTTTGAACATGACACACATATTTCGGTTTGGGTGTTGAAAACAAAAAAGAGAATTAAATCAAAAAAATATCTAATAAGTAAGAGCAGGGTGGTTGTTATCGGTTTATTTTTAAAGATATAGAAAGATATACATATATCTTTTAAAGATAAAGAAAGATATGTATCTTTTAAAGATATAGAATCTATACTTTTTTATTAGGTTAAGGGGTTTAAAGAAATATATAATTTTTTAAGAGGCTTGAGGCAGGTTTATTCTGATTCATTGTAGATCATAAGAATCATCCTAACTAAAATATTAATTTAAGGTAATTAAAAATAAAAATGTCTTATTTTTGCTTAAAATTATTTTCAACTCTTGTAAGATATAGAATCTATAGAATCTATAGAATCTTTATTATAGATTATTTATTTATTTATTTTAAAAGAGGCTTCATTAAAAATTACAACTAACAATGATTAGAAATTTAGTAGAATTTAGACAAGTTACAACATTTAGTTTAAAAAACTTACTAAACCCTCTTGCAATCATCAGATCTTAATGGAAAATATTTATTGAATTTCATACTCTTTATTTCTATATCTTAACTACTATAAACTTTGTTATACTTCGTACATATATGATCTATATATCATATTCATAAGTCTATACACCTTGAAATTAACTTTTTAATTCGCAACAAATCTTGAATTCATAAAAAACTGCATATTAAAATAATTTTCATATATATTTAAAATACCTTACCTTTATGCAGCCTTATCTATGTATATCTATATCTCTTATTTTTTATCTATTATAATTATATATCATTATTTCATATTAATCCTAAAGCATATGTTTTATTTTGAAAATTATCAAATTAATAAATTTCTAACTAATGTTGCCTTACGATATTATTCGATAGACTTATAGATCTATAGATATACATAGACAGATAGTTAAGAGATCCTATGAAAAGTTACAGAAATTTGTAGAAACTTTGTGGAATTTGTAGAGAAAAAGAAATATTATTTTTTGAAGTTATATTTGAAGATTAATAGAATAATTTAATTTAAAAATTCTTCAAATAAAACCAT